CCAAGGAGGAGAAGGATGCCGCCGGCTGGCTGGTTTCCAGACCGTCCTGGGAGGGGAGAGGATGGGCACGTGGCGGGCAAAGGCGAGCCTGCAGATCCAGCCCGGTTTGCCGTGCATAGGCATCCTGTGGCTTTCTCTTGTGGCGCCTCCATTGCTGGGATGGCAGCCGTGGGCCCCAGAGCGTCTCCCCTCGTGGGCTGCCATCTGCTCGTGATGCGGCTGCCGGCACTTTGCCCCGAATCTTCTCGGTTCGGTTCCTTTAATTCGGTTCCTCTGCCGTGCTCTGCTGCAGGGATGGGATTTCTCACGCTCTCCTCCGTTCAGAGGCCCCTCAGACCTGCCCGCTTTCCCGGCTAGGACCGACTGCGCTGGGAACGGTCCTTCTCCACTCGTGTCCAGCTCTGAAACAGCCGATGGGCGCACACAGCGTGCCAAATCTGATTGCACCAAATGAGCACGGTTTTTTTTAACAGTCCCTTTTTTATGATCCCGGATCTGCAGTTTCCCCACCTCCCACTCTCTGCCTGCCTGTTAGCCGGGGGCCTCTTCCGCCCTGCCTGCCAAGCCTCCGCGGCTCTGATCCCCTGGGCTGCTGCCTGCTGCGCTGGCTCTGGGCCCCTTGGGCCGCCCGCCTGCTCCTGTCTTTCCGTGGCCTCCGTACTCTTCTGGGTCTCCCCTTCCCCATCCTCCCCAGCCCCTCTCTGCAGGGGAAAAGGGGCTGGGAGCCTCCCTCCCCACCTCCCTTTCCTTCTGCTCCTCTTCCGGCATGGCTGCCCACGTCCGTGCCCCTCGTCTGTGCCCCTCGCCGGCTCTTCCCTCTGGCTGGGTCTGCTGACACAGAGATTTTGTCCCTCCCCCCCCCAGCAAGCAGGGATGCTCTGGGGGGCATCGGGATCATTTTCTCGCTCTTCCTGCCTTCTCCATCCCAGGGAGCCCCCTCCTCAATCTCGAGGCAGGGGGCAGCGTGCCTGCTGGAGCTTGGGGGGGAATTGGTTTGCCCCAAACACAGACTCCGTGACGGAGCTGCAGGAGATGAGAGGGTGAAGCTGCCCCCCCTCCCAGAGCTGCATGGGCTGCTCCATGCTCCCCATGCGGAGGGATGGAGGGGGGGAGGGAGGGGGGTTCCTGTGGCCGGCAGTTTCCTTTCCTGCTGCCGCATCAGCACTTCCCTCGCAGGGAGCAGCCGGAGCAAGCGAGCGAGCGGGGCGTGCGCTGCCTGGTGCCAGCTCGCAGGATGCAGAAGAGCCTTGTAGGCAAAAGGCAGCGGCTCTCTCCAGGGGGGTGAATCTGTGGCAGGGCCGGGTGCCGCGTTTCTGCTGCACCAGGCGCTTCGGAGAGGTTCGCCTCTCTTTCGCTCCGGTTTTTCCTCTGGTCCAGAGAGCGGGGATGAAGCAGAGCCAGGCTTCCCGGCTGGGGCAGCCCTTGGCCAAGGCCTGGTCTCCTCCGGGCCCCCAGGAGCTGCTTTCCCCCTCCCCTCCTCCTCCGAGCCCCCTCCTCCCTGTAGCTGGGCTTTGGCCGGCTGCTGGACGGCCCCGTGGCCACCCTGGGCTGTTCTGGAGGCAGGCCTGGGTGACTTTGACCACATCCTGAAAAATGCTCTAGAGTCAGTGGAAATTCCCCCAAAATAAGATGATAAAAGCTCAATTGCAAATAACTGCAAGGAGAGGAGAAAATGGAACATAGTGGAGGAAGCCAATTGAAATGTGCAGAGGACACAAGCTGGGTGGAATAGCCGACATTTCAGAAGACAGGCTGGACATTCAGAAGGCCCCGGGGCCCTATCCAGGAAGAGGCAGCTCAGTGGCGAGAGAGAGGAACGCAGGCAAGAAAAACCAAGGGCACAGGGAGAGAATAAATGGCTGAACAGCAGTCACCTTGAGAGGGAGCTCCGAGTCCTAGTGGAGAATCACCTAAGTAGGAGCCAGCCGTGTGCTGCAGCTGCCAAAAAAGCCAACACAGTGCTGGGCTGCATCAACAGAGGGATAGAATCACGGTCACGTGAAGTGTTAGTACCGCTTTACAAGGCCTTGGTAAGGCCACGCTTGGAATACGGCATCCAGTTTTGGTCACCACGATGTAAAAAAGATGCTGTGACTCTAGAAAGAGTGCAGAGAAGAGCAACAAAGAGGATCAGGGGACTGGAGGCTAAAACATATAAGGAACAATTGCTGGAATTGGGTCTGTCTAGTTTAACGAAGAGAAGGACGAGGGGGGACAGGATAGCAGCCTTCCAGTATCTCAGGGGCTGCCACAAGGAATATAGGTCAAGCTATTCTCCAAAGCAGAGGTCCCCAGCCTTTTGGGCACCAGGGACCGGTTCTGTGGAGAGAGGTATTTCCACGGACCAGAGAGTGTGTGGTTTTGTGTGCTGCTTGCATCCTGTGGATGGGGTTTTCCTTGTTGTGCGGACCCGGTTGCTGGCATGCCGCAGCCCCACCGGAGGTTGGGGACCCCTGCTCCAAAGCACCAGAAGGCAGGAAAAAGAAGTCGTGGATGGAAAGTAATCAAGGAGAGAAGCAACCTAGAACTAAGGAAGAATTTCCTGACAGTGAGAACAATTAATCAGTGGAACAACTCGCCTCCAGAAGTTGTGGGTGCTCCAACACTGGAAGTTTCTAAAGAAGAGACTGGACAGCCACTTGTCCAGAATGGTGTAAAGACTCCTACTTGAGTAGGGGGTTGGACTAGAAGATCTCCAGGGTCCCTTCCAACTTGGTTACTCTGTTAATTGGAAGCTGGGTGAGAATAAGAGGGCAGGGAAAACCTGCAGACTCCGGCTTTTGTCATTCTTCCCAGCCATTTTGTATAGTTGTAGGAAGCCCTTCGGTTGTCATCTTTGCAATGGAGTAGCAGCCCGTTGCCTCTATGTGCACGTGTTTGTTTCTGTGTACTCCTGTGCACACGCACTCACCTGTGGGGCACTGGGCCAGAAGGGGTGTGTGGCTCACACTCTAAGCCGCTGACCACCTGCCCCTCCATGCCGCCAGGTCCATCCGTGGCCTGGTTCTCCTCCCGGCCACCCCCAGCCACATGCAGCCCACGGTCAGGCTGCCTTTTTCAAAGTTTGGCTCCCTCTTGGAGTGATCCAGCCCCCTTGGCCTCCTCCTTTGTGCCCAGCCTCCCCCTGGGTGGAGGAGGAGAAGGAGGATAAAAAGGGTTCCTGTAGGCAGGGAGGCCAAGGAGAGGAGGAACCTGGCAGGAGGCGCCTCCTCCGATGCCTCTGGGGTTCCGTCTCCTCTGCTGCCTGTTCCACAGGGGAAGAAGGGCCGGGAGGGGGGTGAGGAGAGGCTGGCCCTTGGGACGGACAGAACCCCTCTTCTCCTTGGATGAGCGTCTGGGGCCAAGCGACTGGCGTCCCCCGGGGCCACAGGAAGCAGCTGGCGGTTTGGCTGAGCCCTCTCCTCTCCCACAAGGGGAGAAAAGGCACCCTGAGGCGGTTCTTAAAGATTGTCACATCCCTTGAAAGCAATCAGGTGTGGCTATCGGCAGGCTGTGGTAAAAAGCCGGTTTTGGTTCGTGTGATTGACCTTTCCTAATAGATTGTGAGAATGCTTTAGGTATAAAGTGTCCTAATTCCAGCCAAGCCTTTGACCAGGTATCCTGTGGCATCCATGCCAGCTGTTTAAGTGTGCTTTGCCCAGCACGGCAAGGCTCAGGAGGGGTAAAAGAACCCCACAGTCTCGCTAAAGCGAGGTAGCGAATGTGGTGCTGTGGGGTTTAGCTCTGGATCCCCTACTTCTCAAGGTGTCGATTAATAACTTCATTAAGAGTCACTAAGAGGCAGAGGGAATTCTGATTAGATTTTAGATGACACAGAACCGACTGCCATATCTGCTCTCTCAGAAAACATGACCGTGACAGCGTGTTTAAACCGTGCAGGTTTTTAGCAAAGTCTAGCCAGCCAGTGTCCCGCGCCCGTTCCTCAAACTCGGGAGATTGGCTGCTTTTCCCGTTAGGTGGGATTATCCTCTGTCACATCCAGGCTCAGTGGAGCCAGAGCTCCTTACGAGGTGACAGGCGCCATCTCGCTCAGCATCTTCAAATGCAAGACTGCTTTCCAAAATTATATTAATACACGTAATAATTTGAAACCAAAACAAAGTTGTACCAAGGGGAAATCAGGCGAGTTTTAAAAATCTTCGTGTTTCTTGTGTTGCCAACCGTTCATCGCTTTCCAAACATTCTTTGAGGGTCCAGTGGATCCAAAATAATGTTTTCTGATGAATGGCTTTAAAGTGTCACTTCTTTTTAAAACCTAGACCTTTTGATTTTCCAAAATTGGATATTCCAGTTTTCCCTCCTTGAAACCAAACACGCAACTGGCCTTGCGCTTCTCAGTACTGTGCAGAACGGAACGCTTGGCTCCTCTTCGGTCACAGCCCCCGTTAAAGGAGCTGGAGCTGCAGGTGCCCTCAGGGGGCGACCAGATGTTTTGAATCTGCTGGATGCCCTTTTGCACTAGTTGATAACAAGTTGAGCATGCAGTGTTTTTTGTAGGTAAAGACCTTTTCATTTTTCTCGGTTGCCTCTGACTCTGTAGAAGCCAGAACCTTCGTCTCTGGGTCTGTGGCTCTCGCTGGGCACTGAGGGCCCCGGTCGTGGTGCACTTGGAGGAGATCCTTCGGTGTGGCTGGGGGTGTCGGATGGGTGTCCTCCAGTGGGCCAGTCCGGCCAGAGGCCAGGCCTTTGGTCATACCTCCGCTGGGCCTGAGGCCGGCCCCCTCTGGATCGTCTGCTCCGCCCTTGGGGAGCGCAAGGGGGATGGATGGTGAAGGCGGTGCAGCCGCCACAGCTGCTGGAGGAGGAAAGGGGTCTGGGGTCTGGTTCTGGTGTTCCTGCAGAATAAAACGGGGGGGGGACCCAGGGGGTGGGCCAGGGAGGCCTTTAAGCAACTGGTCCCCACAGCCCGACCGATATGGGGGAAGCACTCCCAATGGCGGGGGGGGGGGCTGCAAACGGCGCGACGGTTGTGGCTGACGGAGGCTCTCTCTCTCTCTTAGGCATCGAATGTCCCCGTGGAGCCCGGAACCTGCCCGGCCTGGTCCAGGAAGGGGAGCCCTTCAGCGAGGAAGCCACCCTGTTCACGAAGGAGCTGGTGCTGCAACGAGAGGTAGGACGGTGGGCCTGGGTGTGGGTCTGTGCGCCTTGACTTCACCTTGCTGCCTTTCCCTGCTTGGTCTGGATGCATCTGTGAGGTCGGGGGTCTTCCTGGCCCAGTGGGGGGTGGGCAATGGGGTGTTCCCCTGCTGGGACAGGGGTCAGGGGCCAAAGGACCTCCCCCAGCTCTTTTGGCCTCTGCGTGAGCGGCTTCCTCCAGCCTTGGACCACGGGAGTTTCTGCCCATGGCTGCCATCTTCAGAAGGACTGGAAGGATGTGCCAGGCCAGCGGCTTCCCCTGGAGAGCCACGCGTGGCCTTCACTCTGCTGCCGTCACTCCCCGTCCCACGAGCGGCCTGCGTTGACATTGGAGGGGGCCGTAGGGACGGCTCGTATCCTGCTGAGGCCGCCTGCTTCGGAGGGCAGGCCCAGCTGGGCAGGGGGCTGCCACTACCCTGCCTGTGGGCCCCAAGGAGCCCCGTGAGGGGCCACGGCCGTGGCTCATACCTGGGGGCCAGGCAGGCACACCCAGAGATGCCCTTTCAGGCTGCCGGCCTGGCCGGGGCTCTTCGGGTTGACCTCTTGGGGCCAGGGCCGTGAGCGGGGAGCAGACTCCTGGGGGTGGGCCTCGCGTGGTGATGGTGGCACGTGGTGCGTACATGGGAGGGTTCTGTGGCTGGATCCCGAGTGGAGCTCGCTTGCTGGTGCGTCTGTGTGGGGGGGCTGCTGCTGCTGCTCCCCCCTCTGACTTGGCTTAGAGTCTGTTCCGTCTTTCAGCAAAGAACCTGGACTGCTGTGGGGGGGGCATTTCAGCATCTGGGAGGGGGGTGCAGACGTGCCCTCGGCCCAGACCCTGCTGCTACTGCTGCACCTCCTGGACGGCCCTTCTGCCCTGCCCTGCCCTGCCCTGCTCTCCCCTTCCTGGTGAGGCCCTGAGGGGACCCTTGCCTCCACCTGGGGAGGGGGCTCTGACCTCACATCAAGCGAACCCGCTTCCTGGTTTACAAAGCGCAGGGAAGGGGGAGTCAGCGGAGGGGCTGAGTTGCATAGAGTTCCAAGGGATCTGGGGTGTGTGGGGGGGGGGCTTGTCATGTGGACCCGGCCTCTCTCCCTAGAGCTGTGAGGATCCAGGCCCTCTCTCCCCCCCCCCACTTCCCTTCCCTTCTGTGCCACACAGAGAAAGAGGTCGAAATCTCACGCAAAGGGAGGAGGGAGGAAGTAGGGCGAGGGGTGCCCTTGCCTGCCCCTCCCCATTTCTCTGCCCCTCCCACTCCGTAGGCCTGCTTTGCCCTCTCCCTCCTGCCCCAGATGCTCCCCCAGATGCCCTCCTTGGTTTCTGTCTCCTTTATGGAGCCTCTCAAATTCTGCCCGGAGGGCTCCCCACTCGGCTCCCCCCCCCATTTCCTTCTCTTTTGCATTAAGCCCCTTCGCCTGGCTGGAGGACCCTCGGGCGGGCGCAGCCCCCTCCCTCTCGCCCTCCCCCTCCCCTGCCTCCTTCAGTCTGAGCCCTGCCCTCCTCGGAGGCTGCACTTTTGCACACAGAGGGGAAAAAGAGTTGCGCCTAATAACAACGTCCTCCTTGTGTTTTTTGCTGCAAAACCCGATCCTTTCTGTGGGTTTTTCTCCTCACCTGCAGCTTCTTTTACCACCCTTTTCATCCTTTCGTGGCCTCCCGTTTCCCCGAGGGGCGCCTGCGTCCTGGGCACTATTGTCCACCCGCCTGACCTGCTCCTGGGAGACGAATCCGTCCTTCTCCCAAGGCTCGGCTGCCTTCCCGTGGCACAGCCACGCCACCGGCCACCTCGCTCCACCCCTTCACGCATCCTCCTCTCCCTCTTTCCTCCCGAACCCTCCCTCGGAGGATCCACCGTATTTCCACCTCCGCAGTCGCTTCCCAAGGAAGACGGCTCTTCCCGCTGGCTGGCCAGACGGTTCCCCCCCCCCGGGAGGTGATGGGGGGCTGGGCTGCTGAGGCGTTCGGCCATTGGGAACCAGGGTTCTTCTTGGCAAGACTGCCTTTAATCCTAGTTTGCTGCCCAGAGTCGTCGTTGGGAGGCGGGCAGCCATGTAAATAATTTGAATAAAATGTCTGTACGGATAGGTCTGCTGAAGCACAAAAGGGTCTTTCTTAAGTGAGTTTGAGGGGGGACCCCCGTCTGCTGTAGAGACAGAAAGGGGGAGCAGTCTGATCTAGTGGTTAAGGCACCAGGCCAGAAATCAGGAGCCCACAAGTTCAGGTTCGGCCGTAGCCACGGAGCCAGCTGGGGGGCCTGGTGCCAGCCCCTCCCTCTCAGCCCCATCCATCTGCAGGGTTGTTGTTCTGATGAGAATAGGAGGAGGAAAGAGACTCTTGAGTTATTTGTAAAAATAATAAAGGCTGGTCAGAAATAAATAAAGTCAAACGAGCCTCAGCGTTTCTGTCCCTCCTTCGGCCTCAGAAAGGCCCCCTCCCCCTTGCCCTCTTTCCATCCCTCCATCTCACCCCCAAGACCCTCCTCTGCCCCCCCGGATCCCCCTGGTTCAGAAGGCCTTCCCCAGAATTCATTCCTGGATCTCCCGGGATCCCCGTTCTCTTCAGAGCCTGTGGATCCCCACTTCCCTGCACCCGTTTCCCTTCTCTGACCCATTTGGGGGGGGCTTCCAGCTGCGTCCTTCCCCTTCATTGTGCCAGGCACATTTTTTGTGTGGGCCCTTCCTCTCCCTCCCCTCCCCTCCTGGTCCCTGTTGCAGAGGGACCCCCCCCTTCTCCTCCCTTTCTTCCTGCTTCTTGGCCCGCCCTGGTCTCTGGATGTCTGGCCACCTCTCCCCCCTTGACCCCCCCCCCGCAAGACCTGGCAGTTAGGACAGTTTTACTTGCAAGTCTCATTCAGCTATTACTCTTTGACCCCCCCAGCCCCTGATTCTCCCATCTTTGGGGGAGACACCGAACAGGAGGACACAACAGACTTCCCTTCTTTAGCAGTTTGTCACATTTTAAGTTATTTAAGGCTTCTTTACGCTTCCAGTGAGGGATTCTCTCCAGAGGGCGTCCTCTGTTCCCCCCCCCCCTCCGCAGCATTTTGACGCTGCCGGTGGCCTCTCTGCTCATTTTAGATGCTTCTCAGGAATCCCGTCCTCCCTCCCTCTGCCTGGTGGGGGCCCCTGCCCCCCACCCCAAACACCCAGGCTCTGTTTCGGCGCTTGCCCAGAGAGCCAGGCGCTCCCGGGCCAGGTGAGGGAACCCCGGGCGGGTGGCATGCTTCGGGCTCTCCAAATGGGCCCCTGATGACCCCACTGCCCCCCCCGGGCCAGGGAGGGAGGGCTCCGAAGCCTGTGGATCCAGAGGAGGGGCAAACAGACCGCCCGGCTCTTCTCCTTTCCCTTCGTGCCTTGAGTGGGCATGGGGAAGCAGTGGGGTGGGGTGGGGATTGCCGTCCAGCACCTGAGCTGGGGATCACCCCCCAGGTGGGGCCAAGAGGGCAGGCTCAGCTTTTGACACAGGCTGGGCCTGGTCAAGGCGGTGGTGTCCTGTTTCTCTGGGCAGGGACTGGCAGTGCCGGGTGGGCAGGACTTCTGCTCGGCCTCTCCTGCGTGGGCCCTCTGCCCAGTCCCTGCCCTCCGCCCTTTGTCTCCAGGAGGCATGCCCCACCTGAGGGTTCCCTCTGCCCCCCTTCCCCCTCCCGCTGCTTGCCTGCTTGCCTGCGTTCCCTGCCAGAGGCCGGGCCTTCCTTTCCTCCTGCTGCTCACCCGGGGCAGAATCGGCTGCAGGGCAGGGCAGGGCAGGGCAGGGCAGATCCTCCCCCCCTGGGTCGGAGGGAGAAAAGGCAGCCCTGGGGGTCAGAAGCAGAGGGCTGGCGGGGTTCTCCCAGCCCTGTCCCCTCTTGGGGTCTGGGGAGGCCCCCACCCCGGCAGGTCCTTGAGGAGGCTCCGTTCTCCTTTCCCGGGGGGCTCCGGAGGTCCCTGGCTGACAACCGACTCTCCCGTCCTGTTACAGACCGACTGAGACTGACTGAGCTCAGCCTGCTTGCGCCAGTGGGAGGGGGCTGTGAAGGAGAACAGCTCCTGCTGCCCCTCTCTGCTCCAGACTCTCCCTGGATAACCGAACCGTGGGGCACTGCCCCACACAGCCAGGGTCAAGCCAGCCCACACTAGTGGGGCCCCCTGCCCTCTCTAGGCCCAGTTTAGAGGCCCCTGGCTAAGGGCCCTCCTCCACAGGCAGGCACTGGGGGGGAGGGCAGAGCAGTAGTGGGGTCCCTGGTGTGGCTGCTCACTAGGGAAGGGGGCGCAGGGGACTCCCACCTCCCGCTTTGGGCCTGAGAACATCACCCAAGGGAGAACACACACACACACACACACACACACTCCCTCCCCGCAAGTGAAGGCAGGGAAGTGGGGGAGCAGCTCTCTGGCTCCGGACCTCCCAGACCTTTCTGGGCAGAGGTTAGATTCCTGCTCCAGCCCCCCCCCCGGCCAGGAGAGGCCATTGACCCAGAGGCCCCCGCATTTCCTCCCGGCTCCTGCCACCCTTTGCCATCCCAGGTTTAGGGCTGAGCGCTCAGGGCAAGCAAGGCCTCCGTCTCCAACACACACGGAAGACCCCGGGGCCCCTTTGGGACCCCCCGGGCAAGGCTTGTGCGCTTCCTCCGCTTGGGGGGCTGGACCTTCCCCAGGGGGATGGCACCGGCTCTGGGCCCCAGCGGGGGTGGGGCAGCCTCTGGCCTGGCCGCTGCCCACCAGCCCAGAGCCTCTTTCCTCCTCCGGCTTGGAAGGATGCCACGAATAGAGCCGGTGGCTCCGTTGGCGGCAGGCAAGGCGGCTATTTTTAGAAGGAACCTATTGGAGGTTGGGTAAATCACTGGGGGGGGGGCATTATAATGTTTGCAGCAAAAGGGTAATCCGAGGAAAACGACAGGGCGCCCCGATGCTACCCAGAGACCTTTTTGGGGTGTGTGGAGAGTCAACAGGCGCTTGGATGGAGGGGACCCCCCTCCCAGGACTTAGGCTTTCAAAGCCCTTTCCAGGCCCTTGCAGACCCTCAGCAGCCCTGCAGTAACCGAGGCTGGTTCAGAAAGC